GGTTACCAGTTACGGATGATATAGGAATGCTGATTCGGTATTTATTTAAAATTTCAACAGCACTTGACCACAAACTTGCCTTGTAAGACTCTTCTTCTAGACCCACACGCGGACAGAGCTGTAAAAACTCGGGAAAGGTAATGAATCCTGACTGTCCAATATTGAGATCTTTCAGCTTAGCTGCAAATGCTTGTTCCCTGCCCGAGGGGATCCGAACGGATACGGGTGACGGTAAGGGTGGCAGAGGGGTCCCAGGGGTTGGGGCAGATTTCTCGGCCTCTTTCGGCTGGGTCGGAGCTGACGTCAACACTCCCCGGCTCGGTAGCGTCCCCGATGTGATCCCTACACTGTAACGCAGATCCTTACTTGTGTCAGTTTTCGCAGTGCCAATATCGGTAGGTTTCAGGAGGTCTGACAAATAGATGGATGAATTAAGTTTGGTTGAGCATTTGGTACTTTGGATACTGACCATACATATATATACGCAGTAGACTGCATATCCGACAAAATGTGAAGGTCAAAATTTGAGTGGGGTATTTAGCACATATTGGAGGTTGTTTATTTTGTTCATAAAATTGACTTGAGGCGCAAAATGCTGTTTACTAGAAAATACATCACTTAAAATTAGTATAATGGGGCAAATAGGGGTGGAGTTGGGCTGAATTCAACTTTTCTTGATATCCAAGGACCTGCGGATTAAAACTTCTTGTCTGCAAATGTTGTACTATAGAGGAACATTGATAAACACCAGTCAGTACTTAAGTATATCTATTCAGAGAAAAGACATCTTGCTTTGCCTTCATGGAATTGAGGTAAGCGTTCGTAAGGGACAACGCCTTATTGTCGGGAAAAGAAGAGCGAAGTCAGTTAACAAAATCTTTTCTTGCGAATCTCTTCGGCTTTGTGCCACAGAGATAAGGAATAAATTCGAAAAACCATAAGTTGTTTTATTGCGGCGAAATAAGAACCTCCGATTTAAGCATAAGATGAGGTTTTGCAAAAGTTCATATGTTTTCTCTATAGAGTAGTAAAAAAAACCCGTTTAAATATTTTCACTATAAAGAAGAGAATCGAGGAATATAAAACTCGAAACGAAACAGGCAGAACGTTATCCGTTTTAGTATAATCGAAGCATGTATTATGTCACTCTGCTGTGCTTTTAAGTCAAAAAACGGGGCCTAGTGGGAATCGGGTTGGCTTATTCCAGCGTATCTCAGAGGATATAGAAACAAAGAAAAAACTGGAAGGTTTCGGGAAGTCTTCTTCTATTACGAACTACAACTTTGGGCTGTTCGGTAAAAACCCTGTAGTGGTCGTTGCCGGCCGACGCCTCCGGCGTCATTGTTCAAGGCCAGTTGCCTCAAGGTCATCCAATACCTCAATCAGCGCTGACAGACACAGAGACTTGACCTACTTCCACTCGGACACACACACGTGCGTCTAGGTTCTCGAACGGTTGTCGAAGCACCACTCGAGGATGTCCCTTATTCCCCACCCTCGGCCGACAGACATCACTTGGGACCCGGCCATTCTCCTGGGTAGTCGTGTGCTCCCAAGTCCAAATTCTTTCTCCTTATTCTCCTTTCCTCTGTGTACACAATAAACTATTCCTTCTATTCTGGCCTCCATCGACTTTTTCTTTACTAAGTAATCATGCTCTAAAGATCGCAGCTGCTAGAGTTTAACTTACTTAGCCCCCTGCGATAACCCTACCTTACATTGCGCGTAAAACATCAAAATGTGTCCGAGAATTTCACAAAACTATTTTCTTCAAACGTAATTCTACTTGGGCTGCTTTATTCACTAGGATTTTTGCATGAACAAACAATCTGTACATTCAAAAGTTAATTTCTATTAGCAGCTCTCATTTTTCCTTTTTTCAATATTTTCTGTTATTCTGAAAAAACGATATTTCTTTACCAAATAGTGTCAACTAACAAACCACAATATTTGTTCTTTTTATTGGGATGCTTTCTTTTATAGGTTAGGACTTTTGGGAACGTAACTTGGCCTATTTTTACGTACCGGGGAGTTTCTTGTAAAAATCCGTGGATTGAATCAATTTTGCAATCTACTGTATATGGACGTTTATACTTATTTACTCACTGCTCTCCAGCTGTTTTCCATCCGGTTCGGTAGCGGAAGGTGGCTGGGGTTTCGGAGAAGAAGTGCCATCAGTGGGGGGCTCCTGTGAGGCCTCCACGGCCTTTGCGAAATCAGGCTGCCCACCTTTCGCCTTTTCAGCAAGCGTCGCTTCAGTACGTGCCTTGTCCGCATTTGCCTGTCTTGCGGCGGTCTTTGACTTGTAGGGAGGGCGTTTTGTGCCAGTTGTTACGATTGTAGGTTTGATAAGCTTGGCGTAGTCCGGACTTCTTGCATCAACTATAGTCGCCTTTCCGGTGACAGGGGGGAGGGGTTTGTCATACTGAAAACCATCATTGTTACTTGTATCAGCGGAAGGCCCAGCCTCCGAAGCCTTTGGGGTTTCTGTCTTTGGTGCATCTTCCGACCGCTTTGTAGGTTTAAGTTTCTAAAACAAACAGTTTTGTGAAATCGTAAAGTGAATAATGAATGTCAGCATTTTGAGCGTCGGTTTCATTTACAGGATAATATTTTAGTGGAGGTGTAGTGGTCGCTCCTGCCCGCCACCCTTCTAACTCCTGACGCCACAAACGTGGTCTCTTAGTGACAATCTTGGTCGCCCAGTTGAGCTCGACTCAGAGTAATGGCACATGTGCTCATGCGAGGCGCGACCTTTGCCCTGGAGCGCACACACGCACTCAAGACAGGTCTGGCCAATCAGCACCCTGAAGCTGGCTCACACAATCATCGAGCTGGGGCCGTTGTGACAATTTCCGCGCTGATGGACACTCGGGATTCCGTCTCGAGCGGGACGGACCTGGGCAGCGTCGTTGGCCGTTGTGACGACACCACGCTCTCACGCGGACCGACCGAGTGGCAACTTCCTCCTAACTCTTGTGTACACAACACATTATTCCTAACACTCGGCCCTTCGCACCGTCTTCTCTCCTCTCCTTAGAAATCAGGCCTTGAAGATCGCAGCCGTTAGGGTTAAACCCGCTTAGCTTTAACACCCCTCGATAGAGGCGTGTACAACATAAAGCTGTTTCAGGGTACTTTCAAGTCAGCTTAGCCTTCTAACTGTCAAAAATAAGGTTAAAATAGGAGATGGTTAACTAGTGTAATTCAAAGGGAGATTGCATAAACGTTTTTCGCGGGCATAATCACCCGGTTTGGCATGGGACGCCATGAGGAGGAAACTTGAGGATCTGTAGGACGAAAGCCAGAGTTCACTCAAAATTGTACACTTCATGAGACTGTTCGAATTTTTCCAAAAGAAACACTTCACTTATGCTGAAGCGATTTATGAAAAGATCAAGAGAACTCTGATACGCTCTCCAATCTCCGAGTTAATAGCAGAATTGGTCCTACAAGAGCTGGAAAAGATTGCCTTCATCCAACAGCCCCCGATCTTTTGGCGCCGTTAAGTTGACGACACGTTTTTTATCGTCAAAAGGAACAGGCTACATAATTTCCGGGATCTTCTCAACTCAACCTTCTCAGATATATAATTCAGGAAGGAAGAGGAACAAGATCAGCAGCTACCCTTCCTTGACGTACTCGTCATGTGAACTCCCGATGACAAAATAGAAACAAGAGTCTACAGGAAGGCGATGAACATCACACAACTTCTTAATTTTCACATTAACTATCCGAGGGCTCAGAAAAGAAGCTGGGTGAGAACGCTGTTCAAAAGAATCCAGACTCGCAGCAGTAACCCGAAAGAAAAAGCACGTGAGGCCCGATAGCTTTGCGACCAGTTTATGCGGAATGGCTATCTTAATGTATTCATAAGCCGACGCCTATATGCTCGCCCTCCAAGCGCCCTACTAGAACCGACCTCTACGATATGTCGTGCGCTGCCGTACATCAAGGATGTGTTGGAAGCGACCGAGTGCATTGCCGCGTAGTCAGGTCATGAGAATCAAGGATCGATTATTTCCCAGTGAGCAGTCGGACGTAATGTATCGCACACCATGTCAAAACTGTTTCAGAAATTACTCGGAACAGACTGGACGCATGCTGGGTTCGCGCATACACGAACATAACCTGGCTATATGACGGGGCGACACATTATCGCAAGAAGCTGCCCACACCTATGAGACGGGTCATGAATTCAACTTCGCAGCTGCAAGGATCATTTCTCACGCCGGCAAAAAGACAGGCCTAGACCTGATTGAAACTTGGGCCTCGAATGACAACGGAGTAAACCGATGTGTCGAGCTGGCGCCCGCATACATCGCCCTGCGCAGGCATCACTAGACCCGCCGCACTGGTGGTTAATTTTCACCACTCCCCCCTCCCCGGTCCCTATGACGGTTGATTGGACCCTGCCCTCTTTAAATGTGGCTTTTCTTCGTTGATGATTTTATTTCTGATGGTGGACTCCCGTAAGAGGTCGAAAGCTCAGACTAAAAAAACGATGATTCCGGTGTTCGACACGGCTTCTTCTCGATCTATACACATACTTGGGATTTGAATATTTGTCTCGATTCGTGAGTTATTTCTGAGTTTGGAATTGTACATTTCTTTGGGCTACTGAACGTGCATGCTTCGAAATTGAGGTCCAATTACTTTACGAGTGCATTTTCCGGCTGCTTGCGGTCAGCTATATGCAGTCAATGACCAATCTTATGCAGTGTTCAAATTGCGTTTAGGACTAAGAAATATAACTCCAGTTTAATTTTGCTATTTATACCGGCGGTATGAGGATGCCGGCTTCTGAACAAACGTCTTTTCGGCTTCTTGAAGAAACCCAATCGACAGAATTGACCACTTCTGTAGTCTGCATTTTTTATTGGATTTAGATGCCGCTACTAACTGGACTACATTTGATATAACACATATGTACTTATACTTTTAATGTGCTTATTTGACAGAAAAGCAGGTCCTCTTCAAACTACATACAGGAGGAAGGGCATGTTTAAGTTTTCAAAAAGTTTTCCGACTTCCGAATACTTCTGTTAAGGATTTGCAATATATAAACCATATGCTTTCCGTTGAAGGAACATCATACATTCTTATATGTCATTAAAAAGGCAACACAGAGTGTTCATGCAAATTTTCAGTGGACATGTGTTATACCGTATACTGCATGAGATGCGATTTGAATGAAAACTGTACGGGCTTCACAATTATAAGCTTTGTTAAAACCAAAAGGTAGCCCTTCATAGAGTAAATAAAATTGAATTAGAAGGGATTTGCTATCGGCTCTGCCCAAGAAAGACTTATTTGCTTACATTTTTTTAGCGAAATCGAAAATCTATAGATAACATGCACACTCTGTAGGTCGTCATATTATATCGAGGGAGGTTTGCTTAGGGGGCGAAGAGACGTGTGTTTCAAAACCGGTATACTCGGGTGCTTGAACTCGCTGGGGAATATGCTCCAAGGTAACAAATAATAAAATGCAACTTAAAGTATCATTCCTAAGCTAAAACACATTTTAAAATACTGGGTAAGGTCGCATTAGATCGATTGCTGGAAGACAGAACTATGTTTCAGTTTTCGTGTTCTGCTACGTGAACGCTGCATTCCTGTGAGAAGCAATCGGTAATGGGAGCATAATTTCAAAAAGTCGGGTAGATTTTCTGATTTGATTATCATCACCGTTAACTGAACTTAGTCAGTAGAGTGAAAACACGAAGAATGATTAAGGTCAGTCGACTGTTGCTTACTAAAAAGTCAGGAATCCGCATAGAAACTCGAAGCACAACTGGGTCGAGGATAAGTCGAGTAGAATTAAGACAATAAGTATAAAACTATTCCCCTCGTTTCTCATCCATGTTATTCATTGCATTTTTTAAATACCTAGGTAAATAAGGTTTCATTACCGTGATGCGACAGAAGCAGCTAATTTTAAGTACTCGTCAACTGCCCATATGGTGTTTAAAGATAGCCATGTGCAGTGCACCAGAGATGTGTCAAAAACGTTCCATTATGCACCATCAGCAAGGATAACAGTTCAACACTCGAAACAGATTTTGAATAAATCGGAAAATTATCCATTAAGCCGCGATTAAGAAGACTATCTGGTGCAGTCATGAGAGAGCAGATGATACATTTCGCAAAAAGGGAATGATGGTACCAAGCTGCGAGAAACTGCGCGAACGTGTATGGCTTCACAAGGTTCTATTCACACATATCGCGAAAAATATACTATTCTATCAAATAATTATATTGAGAAGCAGAAGCCGTGTCGATCACGGAATCGTAGTTTTATCAGTCTGAGCTTTCGAACTCTTGCGGGAGGCCATCGTCAGAGATAAAATGGTCAACGAAAGCAAGCAACGTTTATAGGGGGAAGGGGCCAATTAACCGTCATCGGGGCAGGGGATGGGGGGGGGTTAGGGAGAGGACTAATTAACCGCCCGTGCCGTGGTCCTCTTCCTACCCACTAACTCCCCCGTCCCTATGACGGCCTATTGGCCCTGCCCCCTATAAATGTTGCTTGTTTTTCGTTGATGATTTCATCTCTGACGATGGACTCCCACAGGAGTCCGAAAGTTCAGACTAATAGAACTGTGATTCCGGTGATCGACCCGGCTTCTTCCTCTCAATCTAAACACATACCTGGGATGCGAACCTTTGCCTCAAATAATTACATATCTAAACAGGTGAAAATACTTATGGATCGTGCGGTATCGGAATGCGGTACAAGCGAAGTTCTAAGCTGTTTATCCGGGGGGTGGCTTGGTAATAGGCGAGAAGGGAAAAAGAAAGCTCACTGTGTAGTTCTCATGACGAGTGTACTTTAGGTGACAATGACAGTGTCATTGCACGGGAATGAGCAGTCGTGAGGTAAGGTGGAGTCAGGCCAGACTGTTCTGGGAATATGGCAATGGCTTCTCCCTCTTACACACAATGACTGCTCCGGTAGCTTTACTGTCTTAGACGATCTGTAGTGGGTCGTTGCCCGCACGATGCCTGCCCTTTCCGTCGTGACCTCAATCTGTCTAGACCTCAAGGTCGTTGCGGCCGCCAGACTTA